AAAACTCATGCAATCCAAAAGCACTCTGCAAGAAAACAGGCCAAGTACAAAATCTTGCATTTTGGGTGGAGCTACAAAATGGAATCATTTTAATGATTTTCTACTGCCAACAACAGCAAAAATAAGAGCAAGTAATATATTCCAATAATTCTTTTTACCATAGTAGGAAGTTAATACATGGGAATGTAATAATGATTTGCTTATCACAGGAGATTTAAGAATATCCCTAAGAGCACAGCTGAAGATGTGCAATAAACAAGATTACTTTTTTTTTTATTGAAAGATTTTGTAATAAAATGCAGTTTTACAGGCAGTAGTTCAAAACAATGTACAGTCTTCATGTAAGATTTTCTGCTGCTTAAAATTCATGTGCACATTGAAAATACAATGTAATTGAACACCAATGCTGGTTCTTTAATAGATACAATTCTCTTCTTATTTACCAATAATCTGACAAAGCTCCTTGTCATACCCTGGATTTGTAGGATACTTTGACAAGAAAGAAATGCTTCAGTAACAGATATTTCCAAATAAAATAACTTTATCATCTGTAATGTGCACATCTGCAGAACAGGAAATTTTAAAAGGATGAGCATACAAAACAAGGAAAAAAGATTAAAGGCTACAGAGAGGATCAGAGAACTGAAATGGCATGAGAAAATAAAATGAGAGGAACAGTAAATTATATGGAGAATGGATGAATAACTAGATAGACACAAGAACAAGGGGTGCATGTAAATACAACCACTGAAGGGGCACTTTGCTGGAAGAACAAACATAAAACTTTCCAAGCCCAGGAAACTCTTCCTAATTTACAGAGGTAGACAACAAGCTTGCAAACCTGGTTCGCTCATTCCCTGGGGAATTGTATATACATTTACTACCACAGGACTCTGCTCCCTGACATCCTGCAATTCATAATCATTTCTCATGACAGTCCTGCATTTGAGTATAACTGACTTCAGTGCCACTGCTCTGTGAGTTATTGCCTACAGAAGCAAACCTGTGTACTGGAAAACTGACCTAAATCTCCCCTGCACTGTGTGCCACAAGCTGAGCAATCTTTCACACAACCATTCAAAAACATGTCCTCTATTTTTTCATACTGAACAAAAGTATCAGACTGGGAAATGAGAGCCAGCTATTTACCAATTAACATTATTAGTGGTATAATGTATCAGTTAATTAAAAAAAACCTACAGTCCTACTTGGCTAACTCATATAAAAATATAGAAAATTTGTTTCCAGAAATGATAGCAATAAAATAATAATAATAATAATAAAGCACTCACAGCCCAAAAGATTAAATAATGTGTAAGACTGCAGACATTTGTGACAAAAACATATAGAATATTAAAACCAGCAGCCTTTATAGCTACCTGGATTTTTCCAGATACTAATATTTTGGAATCATTAAAACTGAAAAAAAAAAGGAATTAATTTAAGTCAAGATCCTAGCCTTTAAGGTTACAGCAGTGAAAAATATGAAATTTTAGCACATCTCTTTTAGTTCAAAGATCATTCAGAAACTGTTACTGAAATGCAATGGAAATTTTATTGGGATGAAGTTCTGTCTCTAAGAAATACTAGGGAAAAATCCCATTCAGTTTAATAGGATTCACAGCTATTTATAATTTATGCTTGATAGTTTGCAATTAAAGGGTAAGAATTAGTTCCTTCATTGAAAAGAAGAAATATTTTGGGGGTTATATATACATATATATATATAAAAAATTTATTCTTAGGCAGTTTTTAAGGATCAGTTTATCAATTCTTTTTATAATGTCGAAGACCTCTACAGCTATTTACTTATTTTTTACAGAATGATTAATGTCAAAAATGCTGTTACATTAATTTTATTTAAAACAACAGAGTTCACTGCAGTCTCATTTTTAAATGAGGTCCTCACCCCTATGAGCACTAATATGGAAACCACAGCAGCTATTTCTGTTCATCAAATAAGTTGTTCCCTTTCTCCTGGTGTCAGCCCCAGCACTGACCTACATGTACCTGCAATTTAAAAGGACCATTTAATTCACTGCCTAACAGACAATTTAATTTCACAAACTTGCAGCCCTGAAGAACACAATGAAGTTGTTTAAGGATGTACAAACCAAACATTTCATCAATGGTATTTTCTGATTGGCATGAGGCAGAATTTCTAGTGATGTATGATTTTATGGGCATACCAGTCTTCTAACCCAGCACAAAATATTTAGCATGTCACATACTGTTGATGAAACACAAGTTCAGTAGTGATCTGATATCTGATGAACATTTTAAATTTTTTAAAATGTTCTGTCCTCCAAACAAGGAAGACCCCAAAATGCCATCTGTTCTGCAAGGACATCAGCTAAAGGTGAAGGCATGACCATGTGTAGAAAAAGTTGCTGCCATAATCTTAGCTCTGTCAGCCAACACTTATTCATTTGATCTGCAGTGAGCAGAAGACAGGCTTCAGGAGAAAGTGAGAGGAGGAAGAGGTGCAGTATTTCATTCCCTGGGTTTAGAGTTCACAGCAGGAGAAGGTGCTTACATTCACATTTTCTTTTTTCTTCTCTCAAGCTTGTGGATGTTCAGCTTAAGTTTTTGGATTTTTTTTTTAATTGTCTCTCCAAATTCAAACCAGATACCTTCATCCTGACCTTACCTCTGTTACTAGGCTAGTTATAACACATAACTCTCAGTCCCAACACTGAGGTTATAGTATCAGGACTAATTTCTAAGTAACAGAAATAGGAAATGGGAAAAAAATGATTTTTCAAACATGAAAACCAGATTTACTATTAACCTAAAATCAGGATTGATATATATCCAGCTCTCAGCAGAAAGAAGAGAAGCACTCAACTATCACAGTGTTTAGCAGCTCAATACTCCAGTTCTGGATGCTGTTGCTTTGAAACAAATTGTGTCCCACTAAACCCCATTATATTTTCTAATAAGCATTGTTAAGGACTGCTTAGAGCAATAATTCTCCATAATCTAGAAATTAAGATATAGAAATTGCTCACGAAACATCTGGTTGCTGAAAAACTCCAGAGCAGACAAGAAAGCATTGTAGTACTTACCATACTGAAAGCTCACAAAACCCTGCTGAGTACACACAAGCACCACAGGGAGATGGAACTAATCACCCAAGTTCATTTCTAACAACCAAACCACTATAAACAAACTGTAAAGAAAAATAACTTATGAGTATTTTATACCAAGGATATTATGTGGAGAGGTTATGTTGCTTCTGAATGAGACCAAGAACTTATAAGTGTCAATCCAATCCAGTAGATACATTGCTCCTTTTTGCAATCCTCTAATTGGAGGCTTATTTGTGTTTGCAGATTCTCTTTTGATCCAAACCTTGCTTAAAAATGAAACCTAGAAACCATTTAAATTTATCTTTGACACATCATTTAATCCAAAAGAGATTAAAAAATGAAAATACCAGTTATATTGTGGCTTCATTTCTGGGTGGTTTCCTTATGTTAGTAACTCTATTTTCAGATGAATTTTCTGATTTTATTAAGAAAGTTAAGAAAAAAACCAATATTGCTTTTACTAGGAAAAAAAAGGTATTTAACAAAGGCAGACACTGTCATTACAGTTCTGCCCAAAAAGCTGCTTATCTTACACTTCTTTTTTTTCTAATTGAGATTTCATTAGTAGAAAACAATAGTGTTCTGTGACAGAAGAAAATGCTTCTGAGATTTTTCATGATTTTATATATTTTAGCAAGTGAGAATTTTTTACTTTCTTATTATTTCCTTTTTAATATGAGGACAATATTTTTATGCCTTGGTGATTACATTTATTTAATAAATAAAGCATTAAAGCATTTCCTTTATTGTATTGAAGTCTCTCTGAATTTAAGAACAGGTTAAATTAAACACTTGCCTCAGGAAATTTTTCTGCTTTTTTAATACCAATGCTGTATTTTTGTCTTGTAAAAATTATTAATTGAAAAGTCTATTAACAAATGACACATTCAGAATAAGTTCAGATCCTTGTTTTTCTTTATGGGTTATAAAACTATTAAGGAATGTTATGTTAATATATTTTAACTCTTACCAACTACAAATTAAACCTGTGCAGTTTGTTGTTTAGCATTTTTTTTTCTATTTTCACAAAGCCAGTCCTCTGGCCTGCAAAACCTGTTAGGAAGGGAAAGAGAAAAACAACCCAAAACTCAAATCTACCATACTTACTATCAATAATTTTGTTGACACCATTCAGGAATTCCATAGACTCAAAATAAAATCACAGTCCTTTTTCTCCTTTCAGAATATAGCCTCTTAATCCAAATAATATCAGAGAAGTTAAAATTTAGTCCATTCATCTGGCAAATGTTTCCCTCTGTTTCATAAACATGCATATCACAGAGAAAAATTGTTCAATTCAAGGATTTTTAACATAATTAGAGTGTAAAAAATCATCATAGAAATACTCAGACTTAATAATGCCCTTATTGCAATGTATCACATTTCCATAAATCAAAGATTTAGAAAAACCAAATTGTGCTATAACCAGCTGGTAAATACAGGTAATTGTCTAGGGGGATTGTAAAATAGAAATTTTTGTAGTAAAAGCTATTATGTTCCAACAATCTAACGACAAGTTGAAGGCAAAATGTCAGGAAAATTAGGAGGAAGGCATGGGGAAAAAGTGTAACAGCTTATCAGAAATGCTGGTTCAAAAATTCTATGGCTACTGTAAATATAAAATATCCTATTCAGAATAACACAGTGCTACAGGCTCCATTTCCTCTAGGCTTGTTTACAACCTGTAGAATGCTTCCTTTTTAATATTCTAGTTAATGTTATGTCCTATGGGAAGGACAAAAAACAAGTGCTAAAGTATATGATGACTTTTTACACAATGATAATTAATCATCACATTTCATTAATAAATCATCAAATGCTTGCAAGCTGTCCACAATCTCTGTCATTCTAGTTTGCATATTTTACAATGGTGGAATAACATTTTAAAAAGTTTGAATAGGCACTTACTGGAATTACAGTTAATCCTGATACAGTCTAGATGGGGAAGAATAGATGAAAAATGAAAATTTATCCTTCAAGGTAATAGCTGCAGACATCCAATAAAATCACAGTCCACCCTTCCGGGGACAGACACATGCAAATATGGCCACTCCATATCATCAGTCTTTACGTGGTGTTATAACCCAGATATACTGCGAGAAATCTTTACCAATAGAAACGACAAATAGGGTAAAAATGGCCAATTTCAAACAAAGCTACATGGTGACAAATCTAAGTGAAAAGTCAGGATTAAAAGTCAAAGATGCTTAACTGAGGCAGGCTGCAACTTTCTCCCCATCTGTGAAAGAACAGGTAATTTGTCTCAGTGCAATTAGAAAGTGCTCCGTCACAATGGGTCATAGAGCAGGCCAGGCCACAATCAGACACCTTGGACAACTTGTGGATAGTATAACCTCAAAGGCTCATCTTCACAAGCTAAGGATTGGCACACAGAGCTCATCACCCAGGCCCAGAGATAAGGGGCTGTGGGTTTACATGTCCTTAACCTCTAGATTTTAGATATGGACAGTGACTACTTTAAAGTTATATTAATACAGATTTTTAATAATAAAAATCACATATTTATAAACACTCATTAGAGAAGGAAGAGAATCCTTTTCTATTTTAAGATTATTTTCTTGCCTGACTAAAAAAAAAAAATAAATAAATAACAAAGAGAAAGGAAAAAAAAAAGGGGGTGTTGGAGAAAGAAACAATATTATTAGGGCATGGGTTTATTTACTTTTTCTTGACTTTCATGAACTATAGAAGTAGGCAGAGGGTGGTGTTTGGTGTTTTGTACATCAAGTGATTAACCTGATTTGTGCATGATCCTCTCCTGGGCTACCTACATTCATTAATTATTAAAAAAAAAAAAAAAAAAAAAAACAAAAAACCAAAAAAAAAACCAAAAAGAAAACCAAAGCCCAAACCCTACACCATACTACTTGGTTTGTATGGCTACTCCTGGTTTACACCTTTGAGGAACATGTATACCATCAAACCTAGATTTTGTTTCCATATAGCTGAGTTTGTCATGTGTCGTCAACCGCATCAGAAAAGTGGTTGCAAACAGCCAAGGAGCAGCACCTGCACACCCCCTTTACAGAAAGCACTCAGAGCCTCCCACCCTGGCCTCCCTGCAGGAGGGGACAGGCAGGGAAGGGTCATCACAACACCCTTTGCTCCTCCTCCTCCTCCCTCCTCACACCCCTAAACACCAGGGCAGCGTTTCTGTGAGTGACCTTTGGATGAAGTGGAGGATCCAGTGGTTATTTTCTTACCCCTCACTCCCCACCGGTGCTTTCTAAATCTGTGACTAAAGCAAAAAAACCCACTTCATTCCCTTTAAAAATAGGAATGAATTTTTTTTATTCCCTGAATGGGAATAGCTTCATGGGATGGGCATTTTCCTCCTGTTCTGTTTCAGATCCTGACTTGGACTTATGCCACTTAATCACGGAAGAAGCACTTTTATTTTATTTCTTTACTTACTATTTTTTTTTAAACTAGAGAGAATCATAACCTGACATTTTGTCCATCATATTTTAAACAAGGAAACCAATTTTTCTTTTTTTTTTTTCTTTCTGTAAAAGGGCTTGTGCCTCCTGTGTTCACAAGGCTGTTTGCTGAGGGCCGCAGTCTTTGGGCATTGAAGGGTTGTGTTATCGTTCGATACTACAAAAATACCACTACAGAATTGTTTAAAAAAGAGGAAATGGATTTAATATAGATTTGACACCTAAAAAAAGGAGACCAAGAAATCAATCAGTGGGAATATCTAACTGCAACATTTTCAGTGTTAAAACCAGAAAGTCTTTGATATATTTGCATGTCATCGATTAATTGGTGGAGATAAAACTGAGCTGACCTATATATATATGTTGTTTCTTCTTGCAGATTGAAATTGTGAAATTACCATTCCGAAGAAATTGTGGAGGGAGACCAATCTTCCACAACAAAAAAAAAAAACAATTTAACCAAAAATTACCACTGATTAACTTGTCCTCTTTTTTTAGAATACACAACAGTACAAAAATATTGCGATGGGTAATGTTAAGACTAAATAAAGAATACAAAAACACAAAAGAAATAAAAATAAATTGTAACAATGGCCGTGTATTTGTGTACATATGCAAATGCCACATTGATGTGTGCTTATATATCATCTCAGTTTACTTTTAATGTTAAAACAGGCTGTTTCATAAATGTTTGCAAGCAAAAAGAAAAAAAATGTAAAGAAAATGTTAATCTCTTGGAGGAAGAGGTTGTTACCTAGGTTGACCGTTAGCTTAACTCGTCCTGCATCCAGCTCTAACCGAAGGGTATCTGCAGATTCCCTGGAAGTCGTGGCCATTAAAATGCCATAAGCTCTCTGGGACCTGAACCTTAAAGAAACATCTTCGGCCTCTGTGTGCATCACCACAGGAAGCTGGATTTTCATAAACATACTTCCATCATAGCTTAAAATTGTTGCCTCTGGAAACACAAAAGAAAAAACCAGTTGTTAAAGAATTATCCTCTGTCTACTGAAACTCCTTAAAGGTAAGATGGTAAATGTATATTCAGTCAGCATGAAATAAAATAACTATGTATTATTTTTCATTATTATTACTGGGAGACACAAGAGAAGTCAGGTTTGGTGTTTTTGTTAATGTTTGTTTTGATTTGTTTTACTTTTAAGTGGCATATCCTGATGCTTTTTAAACAAACAAAATTGTTCTTTAATGACCCTGCCAGTCACATGTGCACCTTCAACATGATCAGTAAAATCTCCTGTAAGGCAATTCTTGAAAGACCAGGCCTGTACTGCTCAAAATAGGTCAAATCAGCAAAAGATATTCAATTAACCTTAGCAACATAACAAAAGCCCATGCCTGACTGTCATTCTCCTTAGAATGCTTAATGTATAAAAAACCATTAACATTGCTACAGTATAAAACCATTGACATTGCTACAACCATGGATTGCAATTGTCATATAGTGAGCAAATATCTTCCTGAAACGCATGACTGTCCCCAGCACTGTTTGGATGGGGCACAGGTTGTTCCATGACTACAAAATCCATGGTATGAACTCAAAAATGATTATATGAAGCCTCAGCAAGAGGATTGAGAGTGGAATTGGCATATTGAGGGTAACGTCTTAAAACCCCCAAGACAAGGGAAGAACTGTCACTTTCAGACATTCCAGGAAACCCTCCTGGCCAGAGGCTCTGGCACAGAGCAGTCACAGTCTGTTAGACCCCAGAGCAACCAGTCACAAGCTTTCTTTTTCCAGCTTCCAGGCTGGTAACGAGAAAGGTAGCAAAGAGACAGCATTTCTGCTCACAGGGAGGCACTGCAGTTCCTAGAAAGCAAAGGAAACATTTCTGAAATGTATTAGTTGAGTCCTTTTTGGCAGGACAATCAAATGTTGTGGGCAGAGAACATCTATGGGAAGCTTCTCTATGCTTCAATTTGCTTCGGTGTGATGGAGGCACTTATCTCAAAGTTTATGGTGACTAATACTACTGATACTATGATAAAGTAAATATCACAGCTGTGTTTGCCAAAGGGGTTCCCAGAGCATATCTTGTATGCTGCTAAGGGCAGATAAGCTCTTCAAGACTTCCAGCCTACACGATCCATGGAAGGACAAAACATTCTACTAATTCTGTGAGAGGCAAAAATGATAGATGAGATTTTGCCTAAAACAATCAGAAAATGGCTTGGGTTGGGAGAACCTTAAAGATCATCCAGTTCCACCCATGTCCCCTGCCATGGGGGGACAGTTCCTACTAGACCAGGTTGCTCCAAGCCTCGTCCAACCTGGCCTTAAACACTTCCAGGGGTGGGGCATCCGCAGCAACCTTCTCCTGTGTAAAGTATTTTAAATTCCCCCAATACAAATTTGGAGAAAATAGTCTGATGTTGGGGAAAAAAATGGTTACTGAGACTGCTGTGAAAGTCCCTAGATGTCAGAGGTTATAAGAATGCATTTACAGGTTTGATGATTTCTGACTATGCAGGTAATCGTGTTTTCACAACATTTTAAATCTTAAATTGTTCAGTGAACTAGATTAAATACTTGCAACAATTTGAAAAGTGATTTCAAGTCAAAGAGTTTTCAGTGGAAGGTGATTTGCTTTTTGATAGTTTGGGGTTTTTATTTGTTAGTTTGGGAGGGTTGGGTTTTTGTGGGTTTCCTTGATGGTTATTAGTTTTTTGGGGGAAGTCATGAAGAAGGGTTTTTTATTCCTTCCTATATCTAGCTGTCTAGTCTCTGCATAAAAATCTCCCAAGATTTTTTATCAAGGTAAACATAATTCAGGTAAAGAATTCCAGGAAAAAAATCCTAAAGTTCCATATTAACATAGCAGAAAATAAAAGATATTTTGAATTTTCTATAAAAATAGTCCCCATTAATAGTACTCAGGGTTTTCATATACAGAGCAAACCCAACATTCACCAATGCTAGAGTTCTGTTGCTAACAAATTATCTTAGGATAATGCAAAAAAGAGAGCTGTCAGAATCAGCACTGCTACTTTTTGCCAACTTTCCTTCAATTATTCGAGTTGGTTTTTTTTGAAAATTGCAGAAAAAGGAGAGAAGGATCTTAATTGGAGACTTATTTTAATTGGAGATGGCCTGTGAGTAACACCATGGTGAGCAGACCAATTGTGATTAGATACTTAATCCTCCTAAGACATACTGTGCCAGCATTTTGGGAACAGATGTTCCAAGAACAGACCAAAGATGCTGAAGAGAAGATCAAATAACTTAAAAGCTCTGGGCAATGAGGAAGCCCCCTCATGTCAACTAGCTCCTTTTAATATGTCAATATGCCCTTTGCAAGGCACAGGCTTTCTAAATATGAAAGTATATTGGGGAAGGGAAAAAGGGAAAAAAAAAACCAAACCAAAAAACCCCACAAAACCCTCTCCAAACTACCAAAAAAAAACCAAAAAAAAGCACCCAAGCAAAACCAAAGCCAGAAACAAAACAAACCAAAAATGCAAAGGCAAATGGAAAACAACAAAGGAACCAAAAACAAACACAAAACCAAGGCCCAAAAAACCCAAATAACAAACAAAGCAGAACCAAGCACATAACTGGCAGGAATGGATTGCTAATTTACAAGGTCTGCCAGTAAGAAAGTGACCTGAATGACAAGAGCCACCAGTTACAAAAACCTTGAAGGAACAATTCAGCTAAAAATAGGTATTAATTTTTGCATCTTGTTTTGTTTTTTTTTTTTTTTCCAAGAAGATGTCTCATCTTTACATGAAACCTACACTGCTAAATATTCTCACATAAGTGTTGGCAGAATGTCTTTTTTCTCTTGTTCAGCTTTCTCTTAATTATTAGATCAAAAGGTAATGGACTAAAAGTTTAGCTCAGGATGTGATATTAATTTAAAGAAAGAAGGGAAAGAGTAATAGCTTCACAACCACTTCACTGCTGGAATCATAGTGCTGAAAAGAAAAAACAGCTGAAAATCCTTATAAAACAATCACTGACAATTTTTTTTATGGTGGCAGCAGATAAGTGCATAGAGTTATTAAGAAATATATAGCATTATATAGAACAGAGATTCATATAAAAATATTTTATACATTCATTCTTTGACAGTTTTATAAACCTGATAATTCAAATTTTTCCTCCTCCTCCTGTGGTAAAAACCAGCCAACCAAAACACACAAATGACCCAAACTCCAAAACAACCCCCACTGAAGGGTTCAGTTACCTTCTAAATGTTTTTTTTTCAAATTGTTTCTTATTAAAATCTTCATGGCTAGATATTCTTCTTTTCTACATACACACACACACACCACCTCAATTATCTCTGTATCTAAAGCCAAGGATGCACAGATCAGTAGTGACATGAGAGGAGATTCAGGACCTTAATTTCCACTTGAGCTGGAATTACCTAAATTGCTCAAGAGACAGGCACCAACTCTTCTGGAAACTTTCCTGCATCTGCTCCTACCCTCAGAAATGCTGAACTGGATATTTTTAGAGTGAAGTAGAATTTCCTGAATAGATGCCATTCTTCAACTCACACCTTATTTAAATTAAACTGAAGCAAGTATGGACTAGGCATTTGGATTTCAGGGTTCTTTCTCATAAGTTTTGGAGTGAAGTTGGAATTGTTTTAAAAGCATGATTCTTGGTGAGCACCAGTTAAATGCCTATTGCACATAATTTAAGAAATAAAACAGGACTGTGTTTCCTCTGGACCCCTCGATGTCCCAAAGAAAGAATTATTAATTTTTTCCCACTTTTTCAGTTTCAGTGTGTCTGCAATAATTTGAGGACTGTATTGCATCCCACAGAGCCATTTTTAAAGCATGAAATCACCCTCTGTGTCTGCTGTCACTAAAATCCCACACAAACTTTGCCCAGAAATGACAGACTATACAGTCCAGAGTCATGCCAGGATATGCATGAGCAATCAGGACCATCAATAATCAAATATTCAGGTTCACTCTCTGATCCTGTTTTATTTACCAGTACAAGTAGAGCAACAACATTGTGCTCTGAAAATGCTCCTTATATGATTTTACTCCTAGAAATTGTGTGAGCATTCAAATATATTGGCTGCTACTGAGTCAGATTTGAAGTATTTGTTCTCTTCCCAGGTGTTTTGTGTTTTCTACATGGCATCTTCTTCAGTCCACCAGAGCAACAAAGCTGCAGCCTTGGAGATTTATAGGGAATATTTCCATCAATTTGATAGAAATAATTCTCTGTATGTGAATTCCTACACTGGTATTATTTCAGGACTGAGTCACACTCTAAGTCTGTCACAGCTTTAACACACAGGACCAATCAGTTTAGGACAGTGATGGTAATAGTATAATATTTAGAACACCTGATTCTTCATACCATCTATCCTTATACCACCTCTATTATTAATAATTTAAAATTTTAAAGTATCCAGGTATAACACAAGGAATGAGAGGTACATTTATTTAATGTGTATATGTGTATGTAGGGGGTCTGTGCACGCACAATATGGACATCTACACACACTCTACTTTAAATAGATTTTCTCTTCAGAAATGTCACTTTCATAAACCTTCGTTTGCATGTTTACTTTTCCTTATCCCTGTTTGATGATTTTACTATTGTTCCTGGCTATCCAGTCAAAAGAATGCACCTGTAAAAGGCTTTGCCAAGAGGCAGTCACTCACTCAGTGATCCACAAAGTAAGAGAGGACACCAAATTACATTGCTGTGACATCTGTCCGTGCATCTGCTAGAGTTTTCATCATCTACTAAAGCCAATCTACAGGTCATTCTGATGTTTAACCTTACTCAAATTCAAGAATAAAATCAACTATAATTTGCAACAGGATAAAATAGATGTGGATATAAATATATATGTGTGTGTATATATGCATATAATTTTAAGTATATACAAATTAAAATAGACCACAGTGGTGTCTCAGGGGTTTTGTGCACGAATGAGCTGAAATTATTTCAGGTTCTGTATCGTACACTAAAGGATGTTAGCACTCCTGTTTCAGGTGATTATGAAAAATAAAATTAAGTGGCAATAAAAAGTAATTCCACACCTTTTTTTTTTTACTTAAGACACCTTAATTACTTAATGTTAAATATTCTAATCGCTTAATCTCCAGTATTTTATTCTAAAGCTTGATTTTCTTTGTGAATCTGTATTGTTTGCTGAAATTAGTGCGTGCCCCTTTTATTTAAATTAGTTTGAACAATTGTAAATGTGCTGCTTATATCACCAAACACAAAAGTTTATCAGTTCCTACACACGGGTAGCAGTTATAATAATGTTGTGGAGTGGGATGCCAACACGATGCTTTCAGAATCCCAAAAGCTATAATCTTATTAATGCATGACCACTTGGGATATGAATATTACTGAGAAGACATCTCCTTTCAGTGCAGTTCCCTCTGGAGAGGGAAACCCAAGAGCAGGAAATGATCTCACAGCGCTCAAGTGCCACACGTATTTCTGTTGGACAAGAACCAAATGTTCTTGTGGAGGAGCCAACACCACCATTCCAGTACCACCATTCCCACCAGGGGAATGCACCGGGAAAATGAAGCCTTAAGCTAGACAATGCTTGAAAATAAGGCATGGGAATAAAAGGCAAAGGTTTCTTTATAAGACATCACCACCTGTCCAATATGAGTATGGGAATTGCCGTGATGATGCCTGCTTTCAGTTCTTTGCAGATCTGCGAGTGTTTATGTCTCTGAGGCACATGTTTCCTGGCTTTTCCGTGGAAATAAAAAGCAAACCCGTTTTTGGCTGGAGCCGCTGTGCAATAGGAGCGTTTGGCCACAGGGTGGTACACCAGCCATGTTTAACCGAGGGCTGCGGGGATGCATCAGCAGCTCCCTGATCCCTCTGCCGGCCCCGCTCCGCCGGGAACAGCAGCCGGGAGAGCTCGGCGCAGCTGGCCATGAGCCAAAGGCATCCACAGCCAGAACAGAACACAGAGGAACCCCACTGAAGAGTCTGAGAATCTACCTGCAAATGATGATGATAATATGGATGTGCGTGTTGTACGGAGGTAGCCGTACTATGTACATGCACATCTCTAATGACGTACAACTTAAAACGTTCACTGGGGGCTTTACTTCTCAATTTGTGATGAGACATTTTTTGTCCCATCTGACAAACTTGAAAAATTAATCCAACTAGGTGGAAAGAACTTACATTTTCAGTCAATAAACTTAAGGTTTAAGATTTCAGGTTGAAGACAAATCTGAAGAAAATACGGTGTCAACTGTGAGATGAAAAAATACAGCTCCTGGCATTGAAACACTTTCTATTCCAATAAGAATAAAAAAAATATAAAATATTAAATACATTTATTTTTATTGTTTACCTACTTAAATTAAAATTTTTCATTAGCACATTTCAATTTTAAATAAATTAAAGGGTTTTCTGTCTATTAACTAACCTCAACATCTGCCTTCCTTGATACTGTCCACTTTTTCAAATAAATAAAGGGAGTTTGTCAATTTCACCATTACCTTTCTTAGGTAAGAGGAATTCTCAGATTTTTAGGGAACTTCAGACAGTTTCCTTGGGTACTTAGATATTTTAAAAAAGAGCTAAGTAAAAAAATATTAATTCCTACTGACTCTTCTGCTTTGACTCATGGGTGAAGTTCTGGCCATGGATTTAAGTGACAGTGTGGAATTCAAAAGTAAATTTAATTATATATGAATATATTGAAATAAATAGACAGAGAACAAGACCTCATTTTGGAACTGGAATGTGACAATTTAGCTGATGCCTTAAGATTTTAGCCTTTATATTTTTCAAATTCTGTGCTGCATTTGTGCATAACTCTAAACTTCATATAAAGTGCTAACTACTCTTCACACTTTGGCCAGACAAAACAATTTCTCTAGGCCTAGAATCCCAGGACACCCTCCAGCCTCTGGCCCTGAAAAGTATAAACAAAAGTGAATTGAGGGGGGTGCAAACTGGGGGGATACGACTTCATTACCTGAAGCTGCAATTGGAGGATTAACCCCTGATATGTAAATGGACAAAACTTATATCTGCCTGAAAAACTTGTGACCATTGTCCATCTTGGGTGTAGCCTCTGGGGGGCTTAAACTCTGCCCAAGGTGTATTTATTGAAGAGCTTTAACATGTACTCACTTTATTCTATTAGGTTTGGCTGTCTTCTGTTCCAGATAGCCACTCCAAGGCATCATGGCAATGCAATAATATTTAAAATTGCTTTCACAAAGCTTTTCAGAGCTCAGCAATGTATGATGAGCCACAAAAGGAGGCATTTTTTAGGAGATATTCAACAGTACTGACTCTGTCATAGCCACCTAATTCTTCTCCGTGCACCTTAGAGCCTCCCCTGAGATCTTTCCTCCAGAATTACTGCTTTGAGTCTAGAGCAGGGCTCCATTTCACATCGAGAGAAATCAAGGATGCTTTCTTTGCCTCAGGAGAGTTAACGATAGTTTACCATTTTTAATCATTGTACAGGGTTTCATTTATTTTATGGCTGTGCTTTCTTTTTTAATATGTAAAAGTAGAAGTGCAGTCATGTCACAGAACCTACCTCTTTCGCACGATCTGCCGAGGTACCCCGTGCCAGAGCAATCACACACATATCTGTTCCACCCATCCCTGCACACACCATTGTTTTTACAGGGGTTGCTAAGGCAAGGCTTTGCAGTTTCTCTTGAGCATGAGGGTTTTACTCCAGCTGTGCTTTGAATTTCGGCCATCTGTCGAATATCTTTGCTTTGGCCATCAATAAATAAATCTCGAATGCAGCCGACGTATCCATAATTGAGGAGTGCTGTCCACACTTCAGTTGGGAAGACCAGGCCTGCTTTATTTTCTGGTAAGCCTCCAAGATACAAGTCATCATCCAAGTCAAGGATTTCACTTTCCCCTGGTGCAGTGTATGGAGTACGTAATGTGTTTACAGATATCGTCCCTGGAAAGACAATTAAATGGGTGATTTTCAGATATTTGATTTTGGTGCTGCTTCTTTTACTCAATCATCTACATGTCACATTAGCTCCTGGCAAACAGCTGTAAGTGAAGCAGAGTTATTTTACTTGTACAGCTATAGAATCAGATACACTTCAGTATTTCAATTGCAATGTAGTCAGGAAGTTAATGATCTAAAAATCCTTTATGCACAACACTGCATGAGCACAATATGAAAAATCCCAGTCAAAATCCCCTTACCAATCTCCTTGGTACAGGAGGAATGCAGTTCATAGTTATTTTCAGAAACATCCTTTTCATGCAACAACAACAACAAAAATATCTTCACTCCCTCATATGTATTTCAAAGTCTTAAGGCCAGGGTTGCATTGATAGTTTGCAAGCTGGGAGGCAAACCTGAGTCTGTGGTATGGGCCCAAAGACACAGTACTTTAAAAAAGACTTTCACCATTTCCAGTGGGCTTTGGATAACACCTTTTTTCTTTAAATGTAGAAGGAAAATGCTCTCATCAGCTGCCAGGCAGGCAATCATTAGGAAGGAAGTGATGTGGTCCTGGAGGGAAAATCAATGCCTCTGACACTTATCTCCAAATGTGTGCATGTTACAATGAGAGGGAGAGAAGATGTATACAGACCTTCAGGAAACCAGAAATATCTTTTCCATTTTAGTCTAAAAATTTAATTAAAAAAAAAATTGAACCTAAAATAGAGCTCTTTTTATGAAGTGCCTGAACAGAGAAAATTTAATCATCGGCAAAGATCCTTTTTTTGGTGGTATTTTGTTTAAAATAATGAGGTATGCAACACCTACAATTTGAATAAGAAGAAAAATAAATTTAGCACATACAGTCACAGAGCATACTTATGCCAAGCAATTTTAATTTTATTTCTAAGTAAAATTACTTGGCAAAAAACCTTCATGTGTATCTTCACAGAAGTAATTCCTTATCACTCTATGTGGGTACAAAAGCAAACAAAATATAAATTAAAATATTATATAGGTCACAAAATGCTTCCAATGACCAGTCATACCATGGAACACTGTTATCTGCTGGGCATAACATTAAAAGTCTTTTAGTGGTGACAAGACGCTGAAGAATTGCGCTCACCATGATGAATTTAGCACACATATATATATACAAAGGGAACATGATTCACCATCTCCACTGTTAGCCTGAAACTCATTCCAGAAGATAACACTGATTACCAAAAATGCTTCCACTGTGGTAGGAGTTGTGCATAAGAAGAAATTCACACTTTACACAGCATACATACTAAAATGTGAGTTTTAAGCAAACAAAGGCAGGTCAGAAAAAGATCATTCTCTTAGTTGGGTAGAGCCTAAAATTTAGGCTTCTCTTTTAGTAATGGACTCCTGTGGAAGCTATATTTTTTCTGTTCTTTTGTTGGTTCAGTAGGTTAACTTCAACACTGACAGAATTAATATCTAAAGAATTTGGATGGTTAGTAAAAGCTGTCTGGGGCAAAGGTCTCAGGAGGTGCAACTCCCATGTGAGAATTAAGACATGGATTTTAGAAGGGCTGGATACCACAGTCTCCCTACTACCAGAAGAGAACTAGCAAGATAAAACAAAGGCTTGCATAGCATTTTTGCATCTTTATAAGCATGTTGGAAGAGTGAGGATGTGGTCAGTTTTCCCTTTTATGTATTCTAAGAAATGTTTTCTGTGCCAGTTGAATAATCCCATAGATATAAAAGTGAACTTCCAAGAAAGTATGTAAGAAATATGCATGCTGAAACAAGATACTTTTTCTTCCAAACTTCCATCTGTCTAAAACAGATAAGACATTAGGGCTTGCTAACTCTAAAAATTTGTTGTTGCTCCTCAGCTTCTAGAAGCAGAACTTGGCACTTATATAGAATGCTTGCTATAGGTTTGACCTTAGGCATGCATGCGTAAACATTTTGAGATTTGATTAATCAGCTGAGTCAAACAAGGACACCTGTGAATGACCTGTCAAACCAAGAGGGACTTTTCAAAGAGCATCCTAGGGTATCAGGAAAGGTGGCTAACAGATCTTTTTGTCTCTCAAAAACATTTAAGAGACTGTAAATATAAATTGTACTTGTCCTCACAGTGTTTTTTTTACTGCTATTGTTGCTTGCTGCCATCTGTTGATGCACAGGCTAATTTAGGAGCAAACACTCTAAACCCATGTTCAGGCAGCACCCACTTGTGCACCCACACGCATTAACTCAGCTGCAGCCTCCAACAGCAAGCTCCAACATGTGAACAGTGCTGCTTTCTGCTGGACAGAAACAGCCATATTTTCAACACATTAACAAAGAATCCCAAAAACTCCTTTTCTATTAAATAATAAAAATCTACTACGTCTTGATTACCTTCAGCTCACAGAAAAAAGATAAATCTCTGCTAGTGTAGCTGCTGCTCTGTGTTCCAAGTGGAAGCTTTGCAAGCACAGAAGGCTTAGGAAGGTGAATGATAGGGGAAACTGGTGACTGTGAATTACAGTAAAGTGATAGACTGAAGCAGGAATTTTTTCTTCTCTGTGTCATGAAGGATTACCCTGAAGAGAGCCTAAGTATTATTTTGAATAGATGTCAACAGCTTCTTAAAGAAATGAACTTTTTACCTTCCCAGGTAAAAGACATGAAACCCCATAAAATACTTTGTGTGAGAAGGCCTCTGAAGCTTTATCTGAAACCTTGAAATCATGGCATTTAATGACTATGGGTAGAAAAACATGACAGGCAAGCACACAGCCATCACTGCTGATGATATCCAAATTACCTTTTATGTATCTCTGACAGACAACACACACTTCACTCACTAATTGCTTTGTGAACACAGATGAAAAAAGGAAAATCCAAGTAAAATAAGGGAACATGAAGATATTCCAAAATACAGTAAAAATTACAGAGCCTTTTAAGTATCCTACAACAAAATGCAGAGCTCAAGTTCATAGAATGTTGGCCTACAGAAAATAAACAATGGTTCCATCAGCACCTTTGGATTCACAGTGCACCCAGAGCTGAGACAGAGGTGGTAGCACATGCTGTTTCATCTTGGTGAGGAGTGTTGTTTTTCTTGTTGTGGTGGTTTTTTGTTTGGTTGTTTTTTTTGTGAGGAAGGAAAAGGGGGTGATTTTTATTAATAGTTTTTCTAGTTTACTGCAGGGGTTTGGGTTTGTTTATTTTCCTGTGTTTTGTTGTGGTTTTGGGTTTTTTTTAAATCCTGTTATCTTTCTTGAGGGAAACTTTCCAAGTTCTACTGAGAACGTCTCAAGCTGGACCTCAGAACAATGGGGAGGCTGCCACAGAAATTGGGGACTTTGATGCACACCTCCTTTCATAGACTTCAGTTCTACTTTCTCTGGAAATTATAGGCAGATTAAAAGGAATTGCTTTGATGAATAACCACCGTGCTCCAATCCATTCCGTTGTTTTTGCCTATGAATGTGAAGGGACATCACTTTCCATAGAGGAAGACAGGGAAGCTCAGGGAGCATGCAAATGTCTTGTGAGGCCAGGACAAAAAGGGTTAATAAATTTCCTTGTAGAGATACTAAAATGCCATTCTCAAGACAGAATTGTCAAATTTTACAGGAGGAAAGAATGGGATACATATCTTGTTTAACAAAACAACCTAGAGACAACAGATTTTATGAGGTAGCAGCAGATTCAGAAGAGCACTCAAGAGGGAGAGAAAATTAAAACTTGAAATTGTAACAGCTCTGGAGTAAGAACCATCCTTAAACTTCCTTCTTTTCATAACAACACTCAGAACCAGATAAGTAGTGATACCACTTCTTTGAAAAGAGCCATAATGCCTTCCAGGAAACAAGCAGCTTCCATTCAAAGTTTTTTAAGACTCAAGGTAGGAAATAATTTTTGTATTTCTATCAGAATAAAAAAGCAATGGAGGAATGCTGACAGCACTTGGTTTGTCCTGTCTGAAAAAAGTAAAAAGCAATGACAAAGACAGGAAGGTGTGGGGTGACTTATTTAGTCTGGGAATACATGATCTAGCTTCAGATTCTAAAAACAAGATTCTGCAGCATTTCACCTGAGAACACAGTGCAATATAACATCCAGGAACTTCTTGCTGTATTTGAAAAGCAGTTTGAAGAAAACTAATGAAGTTATGGTTTTCAGCAAGAATTATTGACTTAAAGGGTAACTGATTATGAGAAGTCTTTCAAAGGACGAGTCAACAATATAAGTCAACAATAACACACATGTGAGCAAAAAGGGAAATATTTCATTGATTACAGATTATTGATTATTGTGCCACTTGGCTGAGTATTGGTTAAGTTTTATCTTGGACTCTGAGAAAGATGCAGATCAGCCAAGAAAGCTGCAGATCATTGAAAGAATATTCCTCAAAATGCAGTATAAACCCATCCTCCCAAGTATGAAAACTATTAACATCTGTTGAAATAGGAACACATAAATCTGGCTGTTGTTGAAAGGCTAAAAAGATGTGGGAAGTAATATGTAGAAGAGTACATGTGAGAAAAAAAGAACCTGCAACAACACCACGTGTAATAGACATCACAAAGCACTACTTATAGTGAGATGTTGATTATAGTTAAGCTCTAATTACATACTCCAGGGATCATTTCTGGTGTTCAAGCTGAGACTAAATTTAGTTCAAAATTTCAGTGACTCAGCCCTTAAATGCTACCTACCTATGAATAGAAGCTGATACATTGTGCTTTATGCTGCCCTGCGCAACTGGAGGTTGACAAGAAGAGTAAGTTTCCTCCCTGAATTCACTATGTAATGGTGGTTTCCAAAGGATGAATGGTGGTTTAGCAAAACAAAATAAATTAAAAATTGCATGATTATCCTTGTATATGGCAAACAGTTTTAAAAAAAAAAGAAAGAACTCTTAAGTTTCAGAAAACAGTTATTAAACGTATTCCTACTGTGTTACAAGAAACACTGTGAGCAAAGACCTTTACAGCTGCTTCATGGTTGTTTTTTATTTCGTTTGGGTCTGTGGGTTTTTCCCTAATTCTTTTTTTCTGCAGAGTTTGCAGTACTGTTAAGAGCAGAACAGGCAAACATTTCCCTTAGGTATGACTTAATGAGCCTCTCCAATCATATTCATTATCTCAGCAATTTACTTTTGCTTAAAACTGTGTATAAGAAACAAAATCACATCTCTAAATCTCGTCTCTCTCCTGATCAGTTAAATATGAAGATTTTAAGTGCAGCTACTGCAGCTGTTATGATCTCTCTGCTTACCTGGCATGGCCTATTTTAGGGGGTTTTTTTTGTGCCTGTGAAAAACATCTGCTTATTAAGAAACATTGAAAAATCAGAGCAAGGTATTAAGTGCAAATACATCTTCTGTGCTAAAAGACAATATAATAGCAGTGATGAGGACTGTGACTGCAGCATGCAGCCCATGGCCAAGACAGGACACATAAGAGGCAGCTATGAAGCTGTGGTCCTTGCCAGAAATTCAGCATGTACAGTTCAGGAATACTGGGGGGGAACTCAGGACACAGCAGTTGGCAGCACTGCTGCACACCTAGCAAGAAGGATGGACCAGGGGAGAATATTTTATGAATATTTCTCTTTACCTATCTCTTAAATGTTAACTAAATATGGGCTCAGGAACTCTGTCCTACCAATGATCCTTTTTAGGTAAGAAAGCACTCAGAGTAAGTCTTCCAGGAAACAGAATGGGATTCTAGGGTGAAAACAAGAATAACAGGTCAAAGCTTTCAGCAAAAGGAAATGAAAAGGCACCGTATCTTCCCTCTTCCTTCTATCTCTCAAAATCTGAGTGGATTGACAGAATTACTAGTGAATGGGGCCTGGATGATGACAATTTAAAAATGTGTTCACATTCTCCCTCCCTCCTCCACCACAGTCTCAGACAAGCAAAGGCAAACTCAGTAGTTTAGACTGGATGCTCACTGTGACTGAGAGCCTGGAGGAAAGCAAAGAATGAGAAATAAATCTAGTACTTGCTGATCCAGCTAATATGAAAGTCAAGGAAATTAGCAAAGCTCCTTGAGAAATGTCACAATATTCTCCTGTAGGAGAGATCCACTCTGCATTGGATTTGAAGTCTGGGAGCAAAAGGTTGCAAGACACCAAACTTAATTTAAAGAAAGAAAAAAGAACCATGATTTATTTGAGCTACTTATTCATTAACAGAACAATCTCTTACTTTATGCTTGATAGCTAGGGAAATATACTGTCAATGGCAACAAGAATGTCTCAGAAAAGCAAATTTTTTTCTATACAAGTTATATTCATTCAGGTATATAAGAACTCTGAAGGAGAGATAGGGAAAAGTAATCATATTAATGTGATTTTTAGTATGTTTGGTCTGGGCTAGAGAAAAGAAACTGAAAAGCATCCTGAAATAGTAAAGTGAATTTTATTCTTTATGGGTAAAAGACACCAACAACGCATAATGTGACCGCGAGGTGGAGGGGGATGAGATACTCAGGACAGTGAGGAGGGCACACAGCAAACTCTCTTCCCTGGACTTCAGGAGAGCAGACTCTGGCCTCTTCAAGGCACTACTCAGTGGAGCCCAATGGCAAAGAGCCCTGGAGGGCAGAGGGCCCAAGGATGCTGGCTGGTGTTCAAGGATCACTTTCTACAAGCTCAGACACGATGCCTCCCGACAAGGAGGCAATGGGGCAAAAATGCCAGCAGGCTTCCATGGATGGATGAGGAGCTGCTGAGCAAACCCAGAGCAAAAAAAAAAAAGCTTTCAGAAGGTGGAAAAGAGGACAGGTGGCTTTGGTGGAATGTAGTAAAATTGTACAGGGTGATAGGGATCATTTTAGGGAAGTCAGGGCCCATTCAGAATTGAGTGGGCCCCCCCCAACCCACTATATCACATTTATTGTTACATAAAATCCATATTTTTCACTTTGGAACATGATCTCATTGTCACCTTAATTCAGGTAGAGGCATCTCTCTAGTAATTTTAATAACCAGATCTTACCATCATTAAGACAAATAAAACATTGCCAGTGTTACTGGCACTTCTCCTCCCATAAGCTACTACTGTATGTATTAGAGTAACAGGAAAATTTTGATTCTATTTCAGATTGCAGTTAAAATTCAATTGCCAATCCATAAGCCTGTATATTTTTATTCAATATTCATGGTAATAGTTCAATGTCTCAGAGTTAATAGGTATTATGATTAGTTTTCAACAGTGATGGGGGAGTTGCATAAATTTCACCTATCTTGATCATAGGCAAATCATCAGATGGATTAATTTGATTATTTATAATTCTACTTAAAAAAATAATACGCAATCCTGATCACCAGGCAGGTTTTGCTTCCTGAAGTTACTCTAAATTCTTGCTGATGTCCATTAACAGTTTTAAAGAATTAAAGTATGCCCTAAACTCTCTTAATGGCCCCTGTGAATCATGTTTTGTGAAGCAATGAAAGGGCAGAATTTACCTTCAAATGTAAACAATTGCTATGCATTTATTTCATTCCTTTATAGATCTGTTGGCTTTAGATTTAAGAATAAACTTTACTTTCAGCAGTCCCACAGGCATAATTATTACAGGATTTACTGCCTCATATGTATCACTGAAACAGCACTTAAGAAGAAAGTCTGAAATGAAAACTGTAGTATAAATAATATAACTGCTGGGTGTTCAATTCCAATTGAAGATTTTGAGAAGTTGTGTTTTGTTGTTCAGTAAGGCATGTTTTTTTTTTTCTTTTTTGGTTGTTTTTGTTTGGTTGGGTTTTGTTTGTTTTTGTTTGGTAGATTTATTTAACCTCGAGAAATCTAAATGAGCAACTGACATAATAACTAAATCAAGGTTGGTACCATTAGAATTTGAAGCTGCACTTTCCAGAAATGAAATTATTATTTTTCATAATCATAGTGCAGGTGGGTTTCAGCATGGATTTAACCGAAATCTTCAATTTAAATTTGCACCTAAGATTTGCTTTGTCTGAAATATGATTTGTGTGTAGTAAGATGTTAAATAAAATGATAACTTTTTGGGGGTTAAGTTTCATAAAGGAACTATAAATGCAAGCTATGGAAAGGTAGTCACCAGAAGGAAGAAAGTGGGGGAAATCCCAAAAAGTCCAAAAGAAGCGTAGTTAATTTTTTCAACACCCAATTTACAGCCTACATAAACTTCATGTTGAATACTGATATTAATAAGAAAATCTTCAGGACTGAATTACAGACTCAGTATATTCCCTGCCCCCTTCCTCCCCAAATCCTGGCAAGAAGTACAGGAAAGTCACTGTAGAAGGCAGCTGTCCTTAAATTGATGTGTATTGATTATTTTCTTAAGACAAGCTATATACTCCAGATGAGAAGAGCTGATGCACATTGGTGATTTTACTGGATAAATGCACTTTAAGCCATATTACATTTCAGTAGCCTGAGGAAGGGTTCACGAATTCTTTATTTTTACCACTTCTCAGTGAGATTGCTTTTTGAGTAAACTACTCCAGAATATTAATCACACTGATAGAATGAGACAAGTCAATTATTTCCATTTCTGCCGACATGTGTTGTTAGTAACTTATTAGAATATTATTTAAATACACTGAGATCTGCTGACATGATTGGAAGATCTGTGTTGTTTCTGTGGGGCAACTATTCCCCTTGTTGGAGATTATTGTCAGCAATTCCTTTTTTGCTTTATTTTCATTCTCCAAACTTGCCACTTCAGCTATTTGATGTAAGCAAGCACAGAGGGAGATTACTGTTGGTTTTTTCAACCACACAACACACTTACTTGCAAGATTAAGTACTTGATTATCCAATAATGTAAATATAAGATCTTTTACTCAGCAAATTATTGTATTCTGGCACCTATAATTTCCTTATTTTTCAGATGATGCCCAACTCTGTGGCAACATCAATATGTTCACAGTATTCTCTCAGATACAGCAGAAAAAGCTATTCTGAATGCAGACAAAAGGAACTTACCTGACCGCCCATCCCGCTGAAAATCCACATGGTACCATTCCCCATCATTCACCTTCTTCTGCAAGGCTTTTATTTTTATAGTACCTGATCCCATGTCTAACAGTAGGTAGAGGTGGCCATCAAGCATCTCAATGGCAAAAAAATCAACCTTCACCATCTGTGGATGTTTGGCATCTTTTTGGTGCCTTGGTTTCCCATGACTGAAAAGAATGAGGCCATTTGGCTCAGTTGTACGAAAGTCAAATGATATTGAGCCTGTTTTCTTGGCATTCCACTTTGGCAGAGAGATGAAAGACTCTGGTGTTTCAAATGTGATTGGATCTAAGGTTGCAACATTCTCACATTTAAATGCTACAACCCCATGAATCTTCATTTTAGGATCTCCTTGCTTGGCAAGTCGAGACAGCTCCAACCTGACATCGTTATTTTTATATACAACCTGCAAGCAAAGCAGAGAAGTTACTCAGAGAAACCTGAGCATTTTAGCCAAAGAGACACAATCTTGAATAGGCACATTATTTTGAGGATAATGGTGATGATATATGAATATGATAATTTACATACAAACAAGATGAAATAACTATTTTCATTGACTAATGATTTAATAATTGTTTTCATTAAACCAAACAAAGTTGCTCTAAAAATATCCCTGGAGTTAATTCCAACAATCTGAAAGAATCTACACATAATTTATACTACGAGTTGCAAATTAGCTTGTGTGGCCTTGATTACTTAAAAGCCTTTTCTGCACAGCCATTCTGCTATTATAGAGCATTAGATTTCATATTCCTCTAAACCCTTTGTCACTGTCTTAACTCTTCTGTTCACGTACAGAAAATATACCAAGGTCAGACACTTCATAATTTAACATCTTTTCAGTTTGTCCTTGGGGCTGAGGAGTAGTAACATTCATGGAATTCATGAGGCTATATAAGATAGGCAAACCAATAGCATAGCAGATCAAACCCAGGAAAACCTTTGAGCCTGTTCAATTTCACAAAAAAAAAAACTCAACTTACATATTTTCTCTGACTTTTCTGATAAAAACGAAAGACAATATTAGCTTTAAATCAAATTGACTTCTGCAGCAAATATTCTTGCTTCAAATCACATTTTTGCTTGGTCCAAAAAGCCTGCCATGATACAACCACTTCACTTTTAATGTTTTTTGGTGTTTTCTCAAATTGCTGCTCTTTCTTTTATTCATAATACAAGAGCTGCTGAAATGAGCTCCCCAATACCAAAGGTGCACACAAGTGTTTTGTCAATACTTTTAATTGTGCAATAAATTATACACCCAAGCTAAAATACCACTGAAGGGCTGAATACAAAACCATAGCGACAGAAGCTAAAACTTTCTTCTCTGTTTCTAAGGTTAAGCCCTACATTAAAAAGCAATTTGGATAAAAAGCAACAGCTCAGCAAAACCAATCACTTTGTGCTGAGGCTTCTTCATCTACAGAGCTGCACCATTCAGGGCTGGATCACATCTGGCCTTGATCCAGTGTTCCAACTATGCAGTGTAGTTTGGAGCTGTTCAGGGGACCCATCACTGGGACTTTACTTCCCTGTTGGGGGTTAGAAAGTGCATATTAAATACTTAGGATAGAGCTTCTGGATTAATTTCCACTGAGACCTGGTTTGAACACACGTGAAGCCCACTCTGACACCCAGTAAGGGAACACACAGTGGATGAACTGCAGAGCTCTGCCACTATTAGAAATAAAGGCACTAGCATTTACACAATCTAAGATGACATACCCCATGAGTGATAGTTGTTATTGAAAAATGTTTAAAATTAAAAGAAAAGGAAATGATTGATAGAGTGACATTTTTCAGTAAGAATTGTGTTCATTCCAATTATACCATTATCCACAATGCAAATTTCATCACAAGACTTGTCAGAATTATTCTACTATAATAAAATGTATCCTAAAAGTTAATAAATAAGTCTATTTCTTCATTTTATTTCAGGGTTGAGTACAAGTAGTGTTGTTCTCATGAGAACTGTTTCTCCAAAGACAACAGATAAACCTCACTGTGGATTGCTGACAGCAGAATGCTACTCTGCTACAGAGACAGAGATAATGTGTTCTTCAACTGAAGACATCAGAAGTGAATAGAATTGGACTACACTGTAATATTAGGTAGTAAAGTTCCACATTTCCATTTATCAAATACATCCACAACACCTGAGACTTCACAGACTGTACAAAGGAGTTTAGAACAGTACTAGAGAATAAGCACATGCAAGTGACCCCCTCTGGGGTGGCTTTCTGTCTTTAGAGGAAGGAGGAAGAAGAAGCCAAGAGCCTTGGAGGTTATTTAGAGATATATCTGGTCTCATGAAGCATTGACCACTTTCTATGGCAAGGGGATTTTGGATAGCTCCTGCTTCATTTGAAGAAGTTACAGGGGCAACCTTCATGAATTAGACCAAAAAGAATCAAACACTGACAGAGGATGCAATAAATAAAAAAGGAACAAATGGACTTTATTAGAACTAAGTCCTGCTTGGTGACAATGGAAGTAAATACAGCAACAAAGAACATGAGAAGATCTTCTTAAATTGACAACTGAACAAGAGCAGGTTCCAGGACAAGGTGAATAAATGTACAAAGAGAATTTATTGTTTATGGACAAATCAAACTGTCCAACCTTAATGAAACTGGTTAATTGAATATTAAATTAAGAATTTATAGATATTTAAAAAAACTCAGCAGACTAAAGGAAAGCTAGGTTTTCCTTGAAGTCTAAAACAGCTTACTATGATCTGAAGTAATCTGGCAATTCAGAAATAATAATTTCTAATAAATATGGTTTAAGAACATAATGGACAAAGTTAAATGGCTTTCTCAATAACTTGTCAACAGTTCTTTAATTGACTTAATATATAATGTATGAGGGAAGCATTGCTAAAATACTTTAGTAACAGTGACAAATATTTCCAATTTTATGCCACCAATGTTAAAATATCCTTGGAATCTCTAAATATTTTAAGTGACAATTTTGTGCTTCCCTATTCCACAACTGAAACTTTGTAGCTACTGAGAAGAAAATGACTGCATTTTATTACATACATTGTGGGGGAACTTGAATAAAGCCTATATCTATGTTTTAGAGTGCATATGTTCTAAGTTTTAGAATGTGCTTATGTTCATTTACTCTTTCTAAATGGAAAATTTTGAACTGAATTATCATGGCTAATTAGTAATAAACCAGCAATATACGAACCATAACTGAAAAGACCTGTAAACTATTAACTGAACACAGCTTGCATTTGGAAGCCTGTTTCCTGGTGTTATGCTGAGATTATTACCCCTCTCCCTTATCCATGAAAAATGTACTCAGCCATCAGTGAAGCAGAGCAAAAGGAGAAAAGTGGTACGTTCACAGAAATTAGTTGTCGTTAAATTTTGGGAAAACCACTGAAGAGTAAGGAATAATTCTGAGACTAATATCTGCTTTGTAACTCATGAAGGTGCATGCTTCAGAAACAATGGCCTCTAGGGTGAAAATAACTTACTGATTTATGCATTGATTTTGCCTTTTAATTTTTCTCTTGCTTCTGGGTACATAAGGACAAACATATTTTTAATAGGTCTTATATTATCTGCTATTTCCATCTGAGGCACACAGCCCACAACGCTAACTCAGTACATTCTCCCTCCTTTAGAGACAAGGATCCACAATCAGTCAAGTGAAGGGAATTGGCAATGGAGAAATATTGGATTCACAATCCCCCTTACTCCACACAGCCCACCAGTCACTATGCTGGCATCCATTGGGTAGGTGTCACCATCATATTTTTTTGAAAAATCCTGTTTGCCCAGGATTTCTCTCCAGGGAAGCTGAGAAGCATCAGAGAAAAAGGAAAACAATATTATCTGATTTGCTTCTCCTATGTTTTACTGCTTTGGAATGTGTTTGGACATTGTTTACCAACTGGTCACTGTTTGATTGGTTTTATGTGAATTGTTTTAACTTAATGACCAATCACCATCAGCTGTGTTGGACTCTCTCTTCAAAGTCACAAGTTTTCATTATCATTCTTTGTAACCTTCTGTCTGCATCTTTTCTCTATTCTTTAGTATAGTTTAGTACAACATTCTTTAATATAATAAAAAATAATAAATTAGGCTTCTAAGAACATGGAGTCAGATTCATCATTTTCCTCCCTTCATCTGAGGAACCCCAAAAATACCACAGGTTGGCCCTGGGTTTTAGCTTGCTCTTGGCACTCTCATACCTGAGCAGCAATCTAAGATTCCTGCATGTGAAACTGCCAGCCCTCAGGGAATTGTATCATGCCATTAAGAGCACCTTGAATTTGTCTTGTGTTCACTCTGTTCTTTACTGCTAATATCAAGTAAGCTTCAAGATGTCAGTCTTTAAAACATATAACTACCTCATTCTTGGAAACTGCAAAAGGTCACCTGAACTCCCAAGAAAAACAGAGCAGTTAGCAATTTCCCATATAATTTGCAACCAAGCTATCCAAAGTGAGGAATAAATTTATGTCCTAAGAGAGACAGGACAGAACATTTTACAATCAAGATAACAGGCTTCCTTTGCTACCACCTGGGCCACATGCTGGGTAACTTGCAATATCACAGAGCTGGATTCATTTGTTAAGACACAGCCTTAAGACAGCAATTATTACCTAAAGCTCAGCACTCTCTTTAATGTGGTCTGTAGTCATGGAGAACAACCTAATTTAATTCATGCTTCCCAAAGATATATCATGTATAGCTTTTTTTTTTTTTTTTTTGCAAGCTGGGGCACTACTATTCAATGAACTCCAGAAGTGTAAAGAGGCATAAATCTATGAATGACCCTGAGAAAAGGTGAAGGACAAGAGAAGGACTTTATACTAGGAATGTATCCTAAATCTGTAAGTGTTCAATTAGCAAAAGTCTAAGTCCAGAAAACTTTAAAACAATTAAAAAAAAAAACCAGAAGAACTCTTTCAGTTCTTTCTATTGATGCTATCCCATGAGATTTAGAATGATTAAAGGTGTGAAAAAATCCAGATTACAACACTATTTTCAATTCAAAATGCAGCCCTTCCCACATCAAATATTATGAATGAAGAACAGGCATTATTAAAAAATAATGCCTTACATATTTCAAAATACTGACCACCTCTGCCAACAATGGCTTTTCAATCATTGCGCTTTAAAATACTTTAAATTATTATGAAGTATTTATTTCAAACTAATTTACATTCTTAAAACCAAAGATAATCCTCAAGAATCTGATCACATCACCTGATCTGCAGCATCTAGGTTTCCTTGAGAACCAGAGGAAACCCAGGATTTCAGAGCACCTACCATTATGACCTTGCTGCAAAGAACTCGTCTATTTACTTAACTGAGAGATGAGGTAAAATACTTTTATAAATGCAATTTGAATAAATGTATGAACCCTGTATCAAAA